CCGCAGGCCAGGCCTTGAGTTTGACATGTGTTTTAAGGTGTTCTCAATTTTTTGTGAGAGTTTGAAAGCTCCACAAAAAGCAACAGATTAAACGTGAAGATAGAACAAATGCTATTAATAATAATAAGAAAAAACCTACAGTTTAAAAAGGCCTTTGCATCTCTTACAGTTTTCAGGTGGAATAAAGTCCAGAAACACTAATGTTTTTTCTCACCTTTTTTTCCCATACTTACCTAGACAATAAAAATACTAAAACCAAATTGTGTATCATRAAATACACAGAAACACTGTGGGTTCCAAAACCCTTTCAGTTGGAATGTTGCTGCTAGTTTGTGTCTGCTGACCTCAGAGGGAAACTGAATCTGGGAGCTTCTTGAATGTCCAGGTCGTAACTAAAGAAGAAGTCTCTCTGGGTGGAGCCGCAGATGTACAGACCCGAGTCGTCGGGTCCGGCTCTGAAGATCAGCAGGCTGAACAGTCGGATGGAGAACCGACTCTGCAGGTCATCGCTGTGAAGGACCTGACTCGAGTCCCTCAGCTTGTTGCCTTGCTGATCTGTCAGGGCCCGGGTCTCGTCAAAGTGGGCCTGATGTTTCCTGAAGAACCACACAACAGTATGGACCTGAAAAAAAAAATCAGCCAAGATGAAAGGCCTGCACATGACTCGTCACTTTTCATGGCAGAGTTTTAAACAAAGATCATCTTACACTGAAGAAAATATAAGTGAAAAATGGAGTGTATCCATTTTTGTCWATCATTAAAATCGAGGCTTTGTGCTCATCTCCTGAGACGTGTTAATGCTTGAATTATGTGCTGGAGATAACGTTTGAACAAAAGAAGACAGACAAAAACATTATCATCACTTCACTTTCAGTGGCAGGTAAGGAAACTTCCAAGGAGTGAAACATAAAAAAGCCTTCTTATGGCAGTGTTTAACTCATTCGTGACCAAGCATGGTCATCTTTTTTTAAACAATATTTCTATTAAAGCTTTTAGGTTAAATATATGACGAAAAATTAGATACAACTATTAGGATATTAAAAGGGAAACATTTATAATTACAAAAATATAAACTGATA